ATTTTAGCAATCCGACTAGCGATTCCAAAGATTACCCCCTACATACAAACTTATAAAGATACAAACTTAAAAAATAAACAAATTATACCTCTTTATAATATTAGTATAGATAATTATGTCAAGTTTCGCAACCAAATCCTCATACATGAGAAGTGGAATCCTTAAACTTAACGCCACCACAACCACCGAACTGAAAAATAGTTTTTATCACCACATAGTTTAAAACACAAAGTCAGTTTTTCTGTCTGCTTAAATCTATAAACCGATGCAACAGATTTTGATGCGGTTATTTTACTGAACGGAGTGATTTAAGAGGAACGTTTATATGTATAAAATCCATTAAACATAGAAATATATAATAAATATATAGCACTACTATTGCACCTTTGCAAAGCCAGGGTGGGTCGATACATGTAGTAAAGTACTAACTTACCTTTAAGTTATTCACTGTCTATACTTACTTAATTTTATAAAGAGGTAAAATTTGTAAATTTGTATGTAGGGGGTAATTTTTGGAACCGTTGGTTGGATTTCCAAATTTTCATTGATAGCTAGATAGCTAGAATGTTTCTGAGTACTATAGGCTATAAAACACCACGCTAAAATTAAATGGAGCCGAGCAGTGGGTGATACCGCGCGAGAGTAGCTAGTAATAGATAAAGCGCTTACATAACTCATTTTTCCATTGTCACACCACAATAGTCACCGCGTTCCCACTGCTGGGCATACACAAAAACCGAAGACGGATGTACCGACGTACAGGCACGTACAATATTGCCTCCGTGACGTCATTTCACCTGATTCCACTCACACTTAAAATGTTCCGGATTAAATGTCATGGGTTATGTGGTTTCATAGATAGGTTACGACATATAATGTTTTCTAAATAATGTAAGTTGAAAGTTAGATCTTAATATTGCTATAATAATAATAATAATAATATATTTATTCGCATTAAAACATGGTATAAAGGTGTTACAAGAAATAATAATAAGAACAATCATGTTTTAGCTACATCATAAATAGCATGCAAATATTCAATTTTACTTGTTCAGGATCTTTAAACTTTAGATTCCAGGAACTCCTTAACACTATAAAAATTTTGCTCATTTAGCCAGTGGTATAACTTTTTTTTAAACAGTTTTATATTTAGTGCTTTAATTTGACATGGTAGTTTATTATATATTCTTATAGACATAGCTACACAGCTTTTATTATATTTAGTGAGTCTGGGTGCATCACTTAGGACCAGTCTGTCCGGATATCGTCGGCTACGTGGATATATGTCTTTTGCAGTTTTAAATAATTCTATGTTCTTATGCACAAAATTACAAGTTTCAAATATATAGAGTAATGGTAAAGGTAGTAATCCAAGTTTTTTAAAAATGGGTTGACAAGAATCGTCATTTTGTAGGCCATATATTGCTCTGATACATTTTTTCTGCGCGATAAAAGCTCTATGTATGTCTGTGCTATTACCCCACATTAATAGTCCGTAGCGCAATAACGATTCTACATATGCACGGTAAGATATTACTGCTGTGTTAGTATTTGTAATATTTTTTAATTGTCTTAGAGCATATACGAATTTATTTATCCTACATGTTATGAGATCTATGTGTGCTTTCCAATTTAAATGTTCGTCAATAACTAACCCTAAAAACTTTGTTTGTGTAACTTCTTGTATCTTGTGTATATTAAACTTGATATTATATTTATTGTTGTTACTTTTATTAAATTGAACGTAAACAGATTTATTTAAATTAATTTTTAGTTTGTTTGCATCTAGCCATTTCATTACTATATTTATTGTGTTATTTATTTCTATTTCATGGTTAGTAATCGTGTTATCTTTTTTATTAGAAGTTACTATAATAGAGATGTCATCAGCATATAATGTACATTTATGGTTTGTAATGTTAGTGATATCATTTATATATAAGACAAATAGAATAGGACCTAATATACTTCCCTGTGGCACTCCACATCTATTATCTTTGTACTCGGATAAATATTGAACCATCTCCCGGTTTTTATTAAGTTTGTTGATAGCAACACATTGCTGCCTATTATTTAAATAAGTTTCTATCCATTGAAGAGCCGGCCCTCTGATACCATTTTTTTCTAGTTTTTGTAGTAGGAGATTGTGTGGAACTAAGTCAAACGCCTTACTTAAATCAAAAAATAAACCTGTAGTTAAATAGTTATTATTAACTTTAGACAACACTTCTTGCATGAGAGTAAAGGTTGCCATAGTTGTAGATCTGTTTTTTTGAAAACCATACTGATCCCTATCTATTATGTTATATTTACTACAGAATTCCGTAAGTCTCTTATGCATACATTTTTCAAATACCTTAGATAAGATCGGTATTAAGGTTATCGGTCGATAGTTACACAGGTATTCTTTTTCTCCCTTTTTAAATATAGGTTTAACTATAGAGAAAGGTTAAGTAGTAAGTTAAGCTAGGTTAAGTTTCGATTGTAAAAAGAAGGTTTTAGGGCTGACAATAATAATTAGTTAATAACGGAAAACATACAGTATTTACAACTAACAAAAGTAACAACTTATACAAATATTAACCAATTACATGTTTTCGCATTTAGTTATCTATAAAAAGCATGCTTAAAAGTGAAAAAAAGTAATAAAAAGAAAGAAAACTACATTATTACACTATTTTTTTTATGTAATAGGTCGCCAAACGAGCAGACGGATTACCTGATGGTAAGCAATTAGAGCCGCCCATGGACACTCGCAACAGAGGAGTTACGAGTGCGTTGCCGACCTTTAAGGGACTAGGGATTTGGAGATTTAGGGATTGGGGGAGGGGAAGGATTGGGCCTCCGGTAACCTCACTCACGCGGCGAAACACAACGCTGTGGTTATTTCACGCCGGTTTTCTGTGAGGCCGTGGTATCACTCCGGTCGAGCACGAATGCGTGCCGAAGCATGGCTCTCCCACACTTGGCATGGCTCTCCCACACTTGACATGGCTCATTATATAAGCTAAGTCTGGAACTGCAAAATAGAACAGTTTTCGAACCAATATTTTGTGAGCAATTGATTGAATTGATGAGGCTTAGTAACGAATAAATCGAGTTCGGAAAAGTCGACCTAGTTATTGTATAAAGTTGTTTAAACCAAATCAATATATATTTTTTTATAAACAAAATGAACAAAAATTAAAATTAAAGTCTGCAATTCGGTTCAGTGATTTAGGCTTAGGAATTATATAATAAAAATATACAAAAAATATGAAACTTCGCTTAAAAAATGCTACACAGTACTAGTTATCATGTTAGTGGGTAAACATTATGTTTTTATTCATAATGAAATTAGAAGTAGCAGTTACGTTTATTTATCTAAATTATCATATCAAAGAAAATAAAATAAGGATTCTTTGAACCCTAAATTAAAAAAAGAATATCACATTGAACCCATAACCTAGACAAGGTCACAAGCGACATTCTAATTAATCTCCGGTAACATTTCAATACTGAGACATAAAAAACATCTTAATCTCGTAAAATTAATAATATGATATTATAAATTCGCAGCGCCTGCGACAAAAGTAATAATTTGAATTATTAAAACTTTGCTCTGTTGTTATTATCAGGCGTTAACGACTTACTCGTTTAATGAATTCTATTGTTATTTTTTTCGATTTAAGTGTGTATTGTAATTTTTGGTCTTTTCAAAAAAAGCACCTGTTTAGATGATTTTGGGTACAATGCAAAATATTACTATGTTATAATGAGAAAGGATAGTTAGCCGCCCAGAACCAGACTCAAACGTGTGCAGTGCGTCGCATCCTCAGACTCTTTAAAGTGTCTCCCACACACATATATTACTATTGCAAATAAAACATTATTAAAAGATAGCGTAACACAAACAGTATCTAAGACATAAAATTGCATTTTCATATTCATAAGAGAAGAGACACAATTTATCTACCTCTAGACCTCGTCCAACAACTTAAAGTTGGAAAAATATGTCTCCTGTCCCACAAGGCTGTAACTCGCCAAGAAACAATTTGAACTTCTACATCAAGTGCACACTGTCATACTTTTAGTTTTCCTAATAAATTAGTAGTACTTTATCTTAGTGTTACTGGTGCCACAACTTTGGAACTTAGTAAAGTCTAAAACAGGTATACTAGAGCTGTGCTTATCCATCTATTTTGTTGGGGAAACTTTGGGGATCGCTGTTGTAAGTTCACCCTTCGTATCTTAAGATTGGAGAGCTTGTAGACGCAAATTATGTGATGTTATGTGAAGGTAGGAACGTTGTTGCTAAGGAGCGTTTGTGATTAGATTCCTGGATTTCTGATAACATACCTTAGAATTGAAATGCTAAGTGATTTGAAAATTGTATGGTTAGCATTATGACTGGTTAACCGGCTACTCTACCATAAAAAAAAATATACTAAATTATACGTTTTAAATTGCCAAACCGCTTTGAGCAAGTTTAGTGATTAATGCAGTAGGCACTGAGAAAAGATATTGTATTATTCATTTTGCATCTAAATTTTATTGAAATGTGCGTTTAGCTGATTCATAAATGCTGTAATTAATAAATGGTATATTTTAATCAGAACTCACTTTAATCAAGTAAATAACAACATTTCGAAATTAATTAAATGACTTTACAGACATTTAATTAATCCTGTCTAATCAGACACAGTAAACAGCTAAATTACCTAAACAATTATTTTTTAGCTGAGACCTTAATAAACAATATTTTGGAGGTCGAAGTGAATTTAAAATTAAATATATTACGTTGCAATAAAACTAAATAATAACTTACATAGCAAAAATTGATTTATTATTAAAAAAATATGCTACGGATTAATTACGATTCATTGGATAAAAAAATAACAGTAAGATTTGTTGACAAAACTTGATATCAATAACTTTCGACGTAGAAAGGAAGACCATCTTTATTCTCTTCTGTCAAAAATAAATGCAAATCACACCCTGATCAAGACGCATGATATAACAGAGCATTTATCACTAAACTATCAATAAGAAGTGACTAGTAAAAAACTTGACAATTCCCAAGTTCAAGTTGTATAAGTATCTAAATCAAATAAAGACAACATAGATTTATATTCACTGGCTGAACACAATGGCGTATCAATCCTCTCAGTTTCACACAATTTCGAAAAGTCCACATCGTACATATTAGTTTCTGTATCACACTTAACCATTTGTATGAACCGATGACCCCATAAAATATCACATTCTGTATAGCTCGTTCTCGCTTGTACCTGCTGCCCAGTAGATTCAATGACGCCTTCAAAAACTGCTAAAATTTCAAATTTCCCAACTAACAAATCTGCTGCAGAGATACAGTACAAAGGACTCTTCTCATCAATTACATGTATGACTGACACTGGCCATAAGAAAAACGTTGATTCACAACCATCTAATTCGACGTGCATTTCTGTTTGTTCGTAATTCTCATCGTGGTCGTCACCTAGTTTCAAAACGAACACTGATGCTTTGATATTGAGTATCCTTGACTTCCTCATATCTCCTACTCTGAATATCATGCAGAGCTTTCCATCTCTCAAAGTCACAACTGCTTGTCTGCTGAACAGAATCGTCTGTGTTCTGCCTTTTGGTCTCGTCAGTTTCGCGAATAGAATACCAACCATGAACGCTTGGAAAATAGAGCAGACCATACATTGAAAGCACATGGCAGTAATTGTTTGAGGACATTCTAAAGTTATTGCTCTTTTACCATAAGCCACAGTCGTGTGGACTTCGACACTGAAGAGGAAGGTTGAAGTAAATCCATAAATGTTTTCAACGCAAGGGGTCCAGTCAGATTGGTTCTGGTTTGGAGGCAAATGTTCCTCAATCAGGTCTCCATGTGCCAATGCGATGACCCAGTAGATGAAGCCGAAGAAGAGCCAGTCTCCAGTAAAGGCTAGGAAGAAATGGACGAGGGTCCACCTCCAGCGAGCTTCCACCATTGTGACGAACCATCTTGAAAAAAACCCTTGGTGGTTAGTGTTGCCTTTGTCAATATTGAAGTCACCGTTTTTGAAAACGAATCTTTTTGTTTGTTTGGTTGGTCTAGTCCGTGACTTTTGGCTGTGAAGAGGCCCTGGAAATTATTTAAAAATAATTTGTTAACTTATCAACAAGAACCAGACGTCTGTATCAATATTAAATTTAGTCGAACCAACAGTACAACGTTTGTCATTTCATTTAGAGGTGAATCTGCCTTGAATTTCTCCTCTATTTGTATTATCGTTTATCTAAATCATTGAAATATCGTACGATGTTTCATTGTAATAAGATTTACTTACTATTTTTGGGATAGTAAACACCAGGTTCTAAAAATATTGCTTCTGTTACTGAATTTGAATCAGTATCATCAAAATGTTCATTGAAACTTATTAAATCTTGTTTTTCATTCATGACTGTTTTGAACTGAAACAAAAAAGGTTATTATTATTTGGTATCCTCTTTTCTATTGTAAATGAAGTCTGTTTGCTGCTTGGTTTGTAATTAAGTGCAATCAAAAAGGTTCGATTTGACGAAAGGTATAACGATTTTTTCAAAGATCAATTTTGATTATTATCATTAACATTTAGATTTTCTACTTCTGGTCTAAGATCTCTTCATAAATAATTTAATTTAGGATGCTTGTGGGCCTGTCGCAATTTTGTAGTGCCTCAAGGATGTTTGCCGAGGCTAGGGTCGATGGTTTTCATGCGATTATCCGCAAGCGATGCGCTTGAATTCTAATAAATGAAGAAGAGACGAGCGTTTATGGGCTCGTGGTTCTTAAACTTATAATTTCAAAGACCCCGGTTTCTTTATGACGCTTTCCTGTCTGCCATCAAAACACAAAATAATTTAATAAGTACTTCAGTAACTTAAAAACTTCTCTCAAGAGGCTGACAAATGCCTGTATTAAGATGAGTTGACAGATTTGCACTATCTTCAAACAGTAGCTGGAATGTTGAATGTAATTTTTCAACATTTCGTTTTCAATTGAAGTTTTTACACATGAGTGTCAGTTTGTGAATCGAACTGCCAAGGTTTGTTGCATCTTTTAGTCGCCATGATATTGATATATAAACGAAATTATACTTTTGATAATTTGTGATTAATTATTTTCAATAGTGCTCTAAAATACTTTTGTTTAATTTTTTGTTTCGTGTCAAGAAATAAATAGAAACTAAAGAATATTAATGACATGAACAAACATCTCCACATAAACTTTTTCTAACCACATGTTATGACGAATTATGAAGAATCCTTTGTTTTCATCATAATCGTTTGATATTTAGACCACTCCTATAGGAATACTCCAATATTAAGGCGTTCACTTTCCACACTTTCCTGACAGTTTTGCGACTACCATGTACTTTCTTTGATTATTTAAATACCACTAACATTCGGTGAAAGAAAACATCGTGATGAAACTTATACTAATCATTTCTAAGTGTGAAGTATTCATTCTGTTTTGAGCTATGCTAGCTGGAAGTGGTTAAGGTTTAAAATTGATCCGCTTGAGAAAAGCCTTTACTCCAGCAGTGGGCATGATAATGATGAATAAAATAAATATGTAATATCTTACCTCCTGTCAAGTAGTTTTGCAGTCAATAAGGTTGGTTCTCCAAAAACACATGTACACAATCTCAGTGCTTTGCATGGAGCTCGCAATGTCTATCATTCTTGCAAAGCCACCGCCAACTGATATCGTTATCTCGAGATTTTCAACTGTAATTAATGTAATATATGCTAGGTGTGAGATAACTGTGTTTTGTTTCTTCATTTGTTGGAATTATTTATTGAGATGCCCCCAAAGATGTGCTGGATTTTTTTTCATTTCTTAATTTGATAATTTTGCCTTTGCCTACATGGTTATATTTTGGCATGTTTGTTGATTCCTTATAGTGTGTTTGTCCTAAACACACTATAAGGAATCAACAAACATGCTTTTTTGTCCCGGGAAAATTATCCAATGACTGCTCCCGCCCAGGGTAAGGCGAGAGAGAGTGTCAGGCTCTTAATATAGTTTAAAAGCATGTTTGTTGATTCCTTATAGTGTGTTTGTCCTAAACACACTATAAGGAATCAACAAACATGCTTTTTTGTCCCGGGAAAATTATCCAATGACTGCTCCCGCCCAGGGTAAGGCGAGAGAGAGTGTCAGGCTCTTACTGACTAAAGACCCCCTGTTCCTTCTCCTGCTCTGGGCCGAGGTCCTCCGGAACCTTAACCTTTCATATTTATTAGGTATGTTTTTTTTAGAAAAGTATAGTGTAGTGTACAAGACAACTTAAGGGGTTAAGATCGAAGTTTTAACATTAAAAAAATACCTACATTCGTAACTATTACAGACAAACAAACATACAATTGTAATATCAATATAAACTTTTACGTATTATTAATAGAATATTTTATTTGAACTCGCTACTACACAACGAGATAAGAATTCCATGACGTATTAATTAATATTTGTTTTAACTTACAACAAGATTTTAGTTGATAAAATTATTTAGTCAAAATTGTGCAAATTATTCAGGAGAGGATTAAATTATTTGTTCTGTGTACATACACTGAATATTTAGTGATATTTTCTTAGCTGTGTTAAGCCAGTTATGTGCGCATGTTTGAGGGAAAATTTTTATTGTAGTAGGATTAAAATGTAGTGACGAGCCTCCATAGGAATATTCTTCTTAAGATTATTTTTTACTACTTTCTAAACTCTTATAAGCAACTTTTAGGTACTAGTGTACCAAGCTTGGAGATATGCTAACGCTTAAAGCAATATAATTATTAACTCTAAAACAATGACAATAAACATTACTCACTTTACGATAATCATTAGTTTACAATCGACTATCACAACTCACATTAGCTCCTACATTTTCTTTTATTCAGACGCTTATTTCAATTAATTTCCTTCAACACCACTATCAGCCTTCTTGACACAAATACCCGTGGAACTACAACCATTTATTAGATATAAACACTGCTTACAATATGAACTTATCGGCAAACGACGGGGGGATAAAAGGCTTCCCGCGTGATCGACCTCCCCCCTTCCCCCTTATCGTATCGCGTAATTCATTACGACATTATCTAACTCAAGAAATTGTTTGGAAAACATCGACGCTATAGATCTGGTTGTAAAGTGGTTTATGTCTAGGTTGTCTAGCGTTGTGTGTGAAACTGTTCTTGATTTTTAAATGTGACGTTGTTGTGCGAAAGTTTGGTGTATTGAATGTGTTTTCAATTGTGTGAGAGCCATGCTTCGGTACGAATGAGCCGGCTCGACAGAAGTTGTACCACGACCTTACAGAAAATCTCCGAACCTTTCTTCAGCAAAATACAAGTAAATATACCTCCTCTGATATTGCGGGTGTCAATGTCTGATTGCTTGTAACAGGTAATAAGACTTCTTGGTTGCCACCATACTACAAAAAACGGAATGCGTTAAAAGCTGTATACACAGTAACAAGACGTTACGTGACGAAATTGAGAATATTTTGTTATTTAATGTTTGGAAGTCGTATTAATTCGGAATTTACGGAATTTTGGAAATAAGGTTCTATGACCATTCCAAGACAGTATTTAATAAAACTGAATTGTACCAATTCTATATCATTTATGTCCTTCAACCACATTAATTACTTGAATAAACCTTACGTGAATATCCTCTCGTAGACAAGGATTGATAACTGCACCATCTAAAACATATTTGTTGACAATTTACTCACTAGATTATGAAAAATGCTCCGACGTGACTTATAACCGTCTATCACCGCAGCACATCCGGGAAAATCCGGGTGAAAAGGGATTCTGACAGATGACGAGCAATCCCTCTATGGGGTGTTTGTCATTCTATTAGTAAAGAAAACATTTTATAGCTGTACTGCAACCTTTTGGGAATGGCTCAAATTTATTTAATCTTTAACCAACATAAAATTGAATTGGCGGACTTAATGCCATAGGTATACTTACCAGTTAACCTTAGGATGATGCAGACAGAGATAATAATTTACTCATATTTATTAAATAAAAACTGAACTTATAATAATTATCAGCAGTCTGTATAAGTACATAATATCTACTAATGTTTAATATAAAATATTATGTTTTACGGCTTAATTACGTAACTATTTGACAAGGAACTTGACTAACGTATATATATAAAAAAGGTCGGCAATGCACGTTACTCGTTGTTGCGGGTATCCGTAGGCTGCGCCGATTGCTTACCATAAGGTAAACCGTCATCTCGTTTGTCCTATCACATAAAACTATAACATTATTTGACATTCAAGAAACCATAAAAATGAACAATTTACTCGGCAGTTCTAAATAATTACTCTCCGTCCCCAGCAACATAAACACACCGGCCAAGCAACAGTCCGCTCGGACGATATTACGTCGCCATTACTCAGAAACATAAAAGGCCTGAAAACCTCATAAAACTTGGAGACACTTAGCGTCGTATTTATTATAAAAAAAACGCAACACAAAACATCCTTTGCTTATAAACTCGAGCATAAAATGAAAAGGTTTTCCTAATATTAACATAAGAATTTCATCAACCGTATTTTCCGAGGTTCTCCGAGTTTGTCCGACAACGTCCGATGTTGTCCGAAGGCGTCCGTGAGTCCGTAAGTGTCCGAGCATCACTCAATGTCCAGTTGGATCTCATATCCGGACAACCCAACCGTTTTCAGTAACGACTAGCGTAAACTATTCAACGCTCTTGGCGAAATGGTCTCATGTTGGTACCTACTAGAAACTGAGTAAGATCCAAGCATTTGATGGGAACTGTTTTAGCTTTCATTGTTTTATGTATCCTTACGTTATAATGATTGAATTACAAATATTTGATTGAATTCTCTTCGGTTTACTGCTAAGAAAATGCTACTACTCAACAAACGAGAATCTGGATGATAAATTACTATAAAGCCTATGTACCTTTTAGATTTAGAGTTAGAAAATAACACAAAATATTTGTATACCACATATGTTAAAATAATATGGAACTACACCAATTGTAACATCTTAATGCACTATGTTCTTACAAATGATTTCCTCTTTCTTTTTTTCTTAAAAATAATACTAACGATACAAAAAAGGATTGGTTATCACTTAAAATTAAAAGTGAAACAAATTGAATAACATAGATTGTAATCTTCACCATTAGCCTATAGGTATAGCTCATAAACTTTGCTCAGCAGTGGGCCTGCTGAGCAAAGGCGTCTTCTCGCATTAAGAAGGTATTCAGATATTTAAATTTAAATGTTTTTAATACGATCCTTCTAACTAAAACATTTTTTATTTTTTATACATTCTCTCTCTCATTTTTATTACCACACATTGACATGTATTGTTCAAGGTGGATTGGTACTTACAAACTTGTAAAATTAGAAATAAGTTCAGAGTTCCTTACGATGTTTTATATTACCGTTGGTCAGTGGCATCTAAATAAGCTTAGATAGTATAATATCCTGGTAGCTCAAAGGTTGAGGCGACCCTGGCTGACTGTAACATTCATTAATTTTATCACTTACCATATTACTAATTATTAATATTATTCACTTCAAACATTAATCTATTGAATATTAATATCCCTTAAAACCCGAAAATATTTAATTATCATAATTTTGAATCGATTCATAAATCGATTCAGTTTCTCATGGATGAGGATATAATAAAACTTCGCAAGGACCAAGGTGAATTTAATATCGCGATTTTAAAATTGTTGAAAAGTTTCAATCTCCTCAACGATGATTGTTTACAAAAGTCATAGACATAATTGCATCCAAATTAATTTCATATTTCTAGGATTTTTTTTTATTCTTTCAAGTGAGCATTTAATTTATTATATTGTTCTTACTACTTGAAACTGGTTCAATGTTGATTAATTTTCCTTTCCAAGCCGAACTAGTTTGGACAGCTAGAAGATTAAAGAGTTAGTCCTTTTGTTTAGAACTTTACTGTGAACTTGGAAGGCCGTGTTTCAATAATTAACTTTATTCTATCCTTTTAAAGTTCAAATTTATTTTACTTCATTTATTTTCTTGTTCTCTAGCTCAAACATTTTTGTTTGAATAGTCCAATATGGAAACGCATGTTGCATTTTGGTTCTTATTTTTTATTTTGAAATGAATGAAAAAGTCTTACATCCATTATATTCAAAATGTAAATACCTATATATTAGAGAAAACTGAAACAACCTTCCAACTGGTTTAGTAAGATACTACCTATAAATTTTAAAGTGTAATTAATTATCTGTTATAAACGTTTAAAATCATACGAACATAAGTTTTCTAGTGGACAAATTACAGAAGTAAACAAGACCTTTTAAGCAGTAGACGTCTTCCAGCAAGTATAACTAGCTACCGCCCGCGGTTTCGCCCGCGAGTTATGTTGATAAAAAGTAGCCCATGTCCTATTCCGGAGTGTATCCTGTGCCTGTGTCGAATTTCGTCCAGATCTGTGATTGAGTAACAAACATTCAAACATCCAAACATCGTAACTTTCGCATCATTGTTTATAGATTTCAAATTCCCAATGAAAACAATTAATACATAATCGTGGGATGAAAGAAAATGAAAAAAATACTTAACAACGAATACTCAAGCAGTGCTAAAAAACCAAAAAACACAATATGGCTCCTCCAGTTTGGGCGTCGTCTCTCGTGTAAAATTTAAATGAAACGCTTACAAAAAGTTAAAAGTAGTAAAACGAGAGAATTCCTCTAATAAGTAATTCAATGCA